TTCATCCCAGCTTGTTGGGAGAACCCCTCCCGACAAACTGGTTTCAAAACCAGCCAATTTTTTTTCTTTCTTTTCTTTTTTTTTTTTTAAGAAAAACAACTTCTGTCCACCCTTAAAAGGGGGCGGATATACGCGGATATCTGCACGGATTCCCACCAGCGCCAGCGGGTATCCGCCAGCAGATGCGGATGCGGATGCGGATGTCCAATTCCGCTGAAATTGTGAGCGGATATCCAGATGTGCCGCACCCATCTCTACTCTCTTCTTCTCTCTGCTCTCCGCTCCCTTTCCCGCTGTTCTCCATCATTGTCTCATCTCTCTTGTACTCTTTTCTCTTCCTCATCTTCTATCATCATCCAACTTTCTGTATCTCTCTCACTTGCTTGACTCCTCAAATCAACCCTAACCCACCATTCTTCAATCAATCAAGACCTAACAGAACCACAAGCCAAAAATTCTTCCTCATCTATAAATACCTCCTCAACCATCAACCAATTCTCAATCTCTCCCTCAAGCAGTCTCCATTTTCAACCAACAAACAACTTTGACTTCACAATTGACTTCTCCCTCCTGCCAAACTGCTTGGCCTCAAACCTCACCTCAACTTCAACAATTATTTTCCTAAACCTACCCATTTGACTTTGGTTCTTCCCTTCTCATTTTCTTTACCTCTTATCCATCATCTTGCTTCTCTCACACTCTCATCAACTTACACTCCAAATCAATCTCCTTACCTCCTCATTGCTCCAATCTTCTCTCTCAACCTTGTCACCTGGCTCTTGCCACTTTGGTGAGAAAACATCTTTTTCTTATCACTCTCTCATCTATGATTCACAATTGACTGTGTACTATGACCATCTCTCTCTGAAAAACCAGTGTCTAATATTTCTGTCTCTTGATCAATCTCTTATACTTCAGTCTTCTTGTTCTGTCTCACACCCACAATAAATCTCACTGTGGTATGCTTTTTTATCTCTCTGTTTTTAGCATTAATGAATTTCTTAATTTTTGTTGATCTCTTAATTTCTGTTTTCAGTTC